CACCCTTGAGTGCCACTAAATAACCTCAAGAATGCACATTAATTGTGGTCAACGGCAACATACGATCACAATGCACTGACCAAACATTAATGTATTTGTGTAGAGTATGCTTCTGACTTCAGGGTCCAGGTCCCGACTGGCTCATCAATCAAGTAGTGCATAGTTAAGATACAGGAATAGCTACAGAATAGTTGGCTTGCAACCTAAAAGCAAAGGTCACACCGCTGGCTCTTGATTTGTTCTTAAACAAACGATTCGAAAGTCGATAGGAGATCATCGGCACTGATGTACCTGTGCCGCAGCTTCTGTCGAATCGCGATCTCGATTCCATTTCGATTTATCGTGCAGCCCTACTGTGCCCACTTGAATAATTTACAGAACTAGTTTTCCCTAAATGTGGGGTTCTCAACTCTTTCCTGCAGAGTTTAGCTCAAACCCTGACCTCCAACTTTCTAGTAACACTGTAGACCTTGATGAGCTTCAGGTGTGTTTGATCAGGGTTGGAGGTAAACTCTGCAGGAAAGTGGACCTCGAGGGCCAGAGTTGAGAATAGCTTAATGTTAATTATTGCATGAATTGACCAGATAGTCAAACAATTGTTCAAGCAATTCAAACAATACTCGTCAATTACCAAAATAATTACTGATTGCAGCCCTGTTCTTCAATTACTCTGGAAACTGTGTCACTGTTCATATTCTCCAATTCACGCACAGATAGTAAGGCAGCTGCGTTGGAGGGGGTGAGAGCGTCTTATAGTTTGACAGCTGCATTGATTATCACAGAGAGAAGTGCACTGATATCCAAAACCCCTTTGACCTCTGCCAGGACACACTGCAGCAAACAGCGCTTTACAACACTCCTTCCTCTTATCCACAAATCAGCCCGTCTGCAACTTCAAGCCCAACGACAACAGACAAGAGTGAATGCAAACCAAGCAATAAAACCGAATCAATATCTAATGACTATTTCAACTCTTCTTCTTACGGTTAATAGTCCTGCGTCAGAACTCATATCACCCATAATGCATTTAAAGAGATAATTCACTGAGAAATTAAAATTCTGTCATCATTTACTCAGCCTCGTGTCGTTCCAAACCTGTATGACTTTTCTTCATGAGGAGGGGGTAAATGATGGCAAAATAATATTTAATAATTGTTTTTGGGGGGGGAACATCTCTTTAAATGAAATGCTGAGATAAAAAAAAAAAGAATATATATATATATTTTTTTTTTTTTTTTATATAAAATACAAAAATATTTACAATAATTATATATATTGTATATTATATATTTATTTTAATATATATAGGCCTATATATAATTATTGTAAGTATTTTTGTATTTTATATATATATTTACATTTTTAATTTCAAATCAAGTACAAATATTTCCTTGACTTTTAAGATTTTATTAACTTCCATGATTATTTACGGATTGGAAATCACAATTTAAAATTCCCAGATTTGTTCATAAGCTACAGAAAGTTACAGTGTAAGCAGTGTAAAAACACGTTTACTGACTATGCAAAAGATATTACATTTAAATATTCAAAACTTTGAAGGGAAAAATGTAAAATGTGTAAGAATCTGTCAGTAAAAACAGTGATCAGCAATTACATATAAACACTTTTAGTTTAATGGCGATAACAGGCCTGACCGGGTGAGATGTACAGAGCTGATGACAGCCATCTCTAGAGGTTTCCTCCACTGATTCAGCATAAATTACTTACATTAATGACCCGCGCCACACACCCAGACGACCTCGGAGCATTTCTGTGCTTTTCATTAATCACAGCCTGTAATTACATGATGGAGTCAACAGCCCCTCTGTGACCATTATCAGCGAGTCATAAAGATCCTCCCACAGGCCGCAGACCTGATCCTGAGTGTCCTGCTGCATCACTGGAGGATTTCAACACAACACAAGTGCAGGAATCCTTTACATAATCAGAGCTCTGCAGGCCGATAACCTGAGATGACATTAAACCCACAGAAGCATGAGACATGGCCTTTACACGGCCTCTTTTCTCCAATAACTCACTGATCAAGATCCTTCCCCATTGTGCTGACAGTGAGTAATTCCTCTGTGAATCAAGTCTTTTTGTGAATCTACAAAATGCAAAGATCCCAAAATCTCACTGCATTTCCTCATACCTTCAAATCACACTTATTTGTGACCCCGGAGCACAAAAGCAGTGTTAAGTCGCTGGGGTATATTTGTAGCAATAGCCAAAAAATACATTGTATGGGTGAAAATTATAGATTTTTCTTTTATGCCAAAAATCATTAGGATATTAAGTAAAGATCATGTTCCATGAAGATATTTAGTAAATTTCCTACCGTAAATATATCAAAACTTAATTTTTGATTAGTAATATGCATTGCTAAGAACTTCATTTGGGGCTTCCGATCCCAGAGAGCGGGTGTAGATTTTCAAATAGTTGTATCTCGGCCAAATATTGTCCTATCCTAACAAACTATACATTCGAAAAATTGACCCTTATGACTGGTTTTGTGCTCCAGGGTCACATTTCATTGTCCAATAGCATTTTTAATATCTGAACGAAAGCATGAAATACCTAGTTTTGAAATGGGGAAAATTTTCAGCGAATTACAGCTTAAATTTTGGAATGGCTTTTGACGACTGGGAATAAAGCGCACTTTTATGGTGACTGCTTTGTCCTATTGGAGCACGCCAGAGCAATAACTATGGGAAAGAGCTGCGTAAAGATTCTCCTTTTGTGTTTCACAGAATAAAAAAGCATAACTCCATGTCCTAACTAATGCAGAAATATGGCAGACGGGCTGAATGAAAATGCAAACTCATTCTGTGACAGTAGGTGCCGCTTATGGAAAAGCACAAATTAGGGCTGGGCGATATAGCTAAAATATATATCAACGACATACGTTTCATATCGTTCGGTATCGGTAACCTTTTTTAAAACAGAGCAATAGAAAAAAATGTTTAAATTTAACCACTGTATTTTTTATTTGCCTAACTTATTATGACAAACAACAAATATATATATATATTTTTTTTTTTTACAGTCAAACAAAATAAAATGTAAACAAATATCAAATATTAATAAATGCAAATGTTTATTTTAAATTCGACTAATATTCATTCTTTATTCACAATCTCCTCATCACAGGCAGAGCACTCAATAAGATTCTCCTTTTGTGTTTCACAGAATAAAAAAGCATAACTCCATGTCCTAACTAATGCAGAAATATGGCAGACGGGCTGAATGAAAATGCAAACTCATTCTGTGACAGTAGGTGCCGCTTATGGAAAAGCACAAATTAGGGCTGGGCGATATAGCTAAAATATATATCAACGACATACGTTTCATATCGTTCGGTATCGGTAACCTTTTTTAAAACAGAGCAATAGAAAAAAATGTTTAAATTTAACCACTGTATTTTTTATTTGCCTAACTTATTATGACAAACAACAAATATATATATATATTTTTTTTTTTTACAGTCAAACAAAATAAAATGTAAACAAATATCAAATATTAATAAATGCAAATGTTTATTTTAAATTCGACTAATATTCATTCTTTATTCACAATCTCCTCATCACAGGCAGGCAAAGCACTCAATTCAGCATGTGTTCGTGTTTGTGTGAGCTGTCTGCGTCACTCACGTGCCTATATCGACTAATATAGGCACGAACATTTTTTATATCGTTATCGATGAAGGTGTACCGTCGATTAGGGCTGCACGATAAATCGAAATGGAATCGAGATCGCGATTCAACAGAAGCTGCGATTGTCATGCGTATCTTTCATTGAAGCACGGTTCTGTGATCAGCAGTAAATCTCCATCCGAAGGCCAGAGGGCGCTCTCGCGCTGAAACTCCAAATACGCCTTGATGATTTCCTGCTGATTACAGAACCGGCTTTACTAACAAAATGCGCATGACAATCACATTCGATTAATCGTGCAGCCCTACCGTCGATAAATATTGATACCGTTTTATCGCCCAGGCCTAGCACAAATACATGCCGTGCATACATTTTCATTGCACCCACTTTTGTGTTTCACAGAAAAAAACAGCATATTCTGTCCAAACCAGAAGTGATAAAGCAATCAAAACTCTATTACTTCCTTCTCAGCTTGTCCGAAACAGCGGAGCAAAGCGACAGCACATTTCTCACAGCCAAATCTGATTGGTCCAAATTCACACTAAACTCCAAATCTCTAGAAACCTGGTAAGGACACCTGGTAAATTTCTTTAACTTCAGTGTCAGTGGATGATAAACAATTTCTGTTTTCATGTCGTAAATACTGAGTAACTAAAATCCTAGTATTTGCTGTCATTCATTTGCATTAGCGATATCAGCAGTCTGTCACTGAAAACCTCATTTAGTGAACTCTAAAGTAGGCCTACCCTGTTGAAAAATACAGCATATGCTGGTTAGGTATGTTTTGAAGCTGGGATGCTGGTTTGAGCTGGTCCTTTGCTGGTTCATGCTGGTCCTTTGCTGGTTTGTGCTGGTCCTTTGCTGGTTTGTGCTGGTCCTAAACTGGTCCGACCAGCTTAAAACCAGCACATGACCAGCAAAGGACCAGCTTAAACCAGCATCCCAGCGTCAAAACATACCTAACCAGCATATGCTGTATTTTTCAACAGGGATACTGAGCTTATTATACATTAATTACAATGCAGTTACATGTAAACAGTGTGAAAATTGGTGCCGGGACGCTGAAGCATGAGGTGGGACAGCTTCAATCTGATATGATGATGATCATCAGTGTGTTGCATTGCTTAACACAGGATAGGAATCTATATACTTATACAAACTAATATAACTGAAATGGCTTAAATTCAACACTGGACACCATTGTCAAACCTCCAGAAGACAGAAGGAGTATGTGTTCAACCAGTCCGGCCCATTAAACGCCTTAACGAAACCACAAGGACGCGAACGAGAACAAACGCATTATAATCATGAATATTCATGCGCACCGATACAGTGTTTCATTGACTCACATTCTCGGCGTCGCGCTCGTTCACGGTGGGCAATGGTGTTCGGGTCGACATCTTGTGTTTACAGGCCGCTCGGTACAGCAGAGCCGCGGAGCCGGGCTTAGCCAAGATAGCGCGGAAGATAGGAATGTCCGATCCCCGTCACACCGGCATGTCTCCGGGCCTTCAACCTGCGACGCGGCGGCGGCTTTCCGGACTATAACATGCACACATCCAGGAGCGGCCCGCGTCAGCCGCGAGCGAGATAGAGGCAGAGCGACGCGACGCTGCGGATGCGCGGACAGGACGAGCGCGCGTGTGTGTGTGTGTGTGTGTGTGTGTGTGTGTGTGTGTGTGGAGCCCAGGCTCCTGCATTGATCCACCCTGATAGAAACACACACAGAGGGGGAGGACGATGATAGAACTCAATGCTTCTGTCGCAAAACAATCAATCCGTTAGTTTTAACCCGTGCATAAGCTCAATCAGTGCTTTAGTTTGAGACCGTGCAGTGTTTGGGGAAAGTGCATGAACCTACACTGTTCAAATGTTTTACCACTGGCTCTTAAAATAATATGCCTCTCCACATCTGACCTACATCACCACCTAATGGATATAAAACAGTACTAAAATCTTCAGGGTAATTTTTTTTTTGATTTAGCACAAAAATTAAAGCCTACATGTCTTTACCTAAATGTTTCATTTAAATTGTGTGTCGGGAATATAATTAATAGATAATAACCTCTCACAGTTGTCCTCATAATCATCCTCCACACCGCTAGAGGGAGCCAGCATCTGAGTTCTGGAGGTGTGCAGCACAATACTAGCATTGAAAATATCATACTAGTATACTACTCTTACTGTTTCTGCCTTATAACAAATTAAAATAATAAAAAACAGATTAAACAACAAGAAAAAGGCAAAACATCTACAACACTATATTTAAACTTTAACAATTTTATGTACGTATACCATGCACTGCAGAAATACAGGGGTTGGACAAAATGACTAAATAATGTGAACACCCACTATTAGGCCTATAGGGGTTCATATAATTTGTGTAGACTACAATGCAATTATTATTATTATTTTCATTGTCTGTATTCTCTAGGTTGTATATCAGTATAAGTTGTGTTCAGCAGTGTTTAGTACAAGCTCTCGGTGAAATGAGTGACTTGTCAAGACTTCCAAAAAAAGAGCAAATCATTGGAGCCCATTTAGCAGGAGCGTCTGTAACCTTAAAAGCCCAGTTGTTTAGTGTTTGAAGAACAACAGTCTTCCTGATTATGACTGCATACACAATGCATGCAAGACTTCATCATCGAAGAAGAACAGTGCGCAAAAACCTAAACGTGACAGTTTCGTGTCCAAACACAGAACTACTGCAGCAAAGAGACAGCAGAATTTGACCCTGTCTCCACAAAAACTGATCATGGAGAACTTCACAAAGCCAACATGCATGAATAAGCTGCACTTGCTGAAACTTTAATCACAGAAACCAATGCTAAAATGTGAAAAAGAGGGAGTCAAGATCATAAAGCCTGGAGAGTTGGAGCACCAAGACGGACTTCAGCATCTGAGCCGAGCGTCATCAAACCACTGGACACAGTTTTGGAGAGAAGAGTGAGAAGCCGATTCCCTCCTTCAGCCACTGACAGATGTTCATTCAGCTGGAGACTATTCAAAAGATGGATGAACCTATTCTAAGAAGGTGGGAAGCTGTATTAAAGGCAAAGGTGAAGAAACATTGCCTGTTTCCCAGGTCTTCACGTTATTTTGTCCAACCCCTGTAGGTTTTTAAGGACTGAATCAAGACGTGTAAGCAGATCAAGCATGTAAAGAAGACACTTTAAAAGGATAATTCACCCAAAAATGGCCATCACCATCTAAAAGCTCGTCAAGCCTTCCACCAAAGCTGAAGGTCCAGAACCACCTTTTCTCCAGTGGAAATGAAGATAGAAAGCTCAGCAGGGTCTCCATTTCCTTCAGAGAATAGGAATCTCCAGCCCTCACCACTTCATTCAGCTGCCAGCTGTTTCTGTGATAACTGCACACTCTACAACCATCAGAGTCATCTTCTGTCCTGATGGAAAACGTCAGGTGCAGCCATGGCCAATGAGCTTCTGTAGAACGGACAAGCTTATAAAGTAACTTACTTTTGCTACATTTGGTTATTTACGTTTACAGAACATGAAATCAAACAAGCTTTGTTAAAAAGCGAAATTTTATTGAAACAGCAGAGTATGTGACAGAAGCATTTGTTCACTATTTTTTTGTGAACAAGGTATTTTCAAGAATACCTCTGAATTTTTATAGAAACCGATATGTAACGTGTGGGTAGCAATTACAAGATAAAACACTGAACTCTTTACTAAGCAATAAAACACTATAAATGTATATATATATTTATGTAAAAAAAAAAAAAAAAAAAACATTCAAGGCTTTCCAAGTCGTAACATACAGCGTACTAAAATCAAGACATCCTTCATTTTACAGGCACTTGAAATTTGAAATGTATTCATCTTATAAACATAGTTTTCTCAACAGTCTGTTTCTATGAGTACTTCTGAATTATATAAAAAGGTCATAAACATAAAAAGTCATATAAACAGTACCTTTCTGTACATTGAACAAACAGGACCTTTTAAATAAATTAAGAGGCTCCCGAGACAATCCTTCGAAAATATAAAATTGGTCAGTGCATGGTTTGCTATTACAAACGCACTATATTTTACTATATTTCATCGTTTTGAGTGGGCAAACTCAAACTGAGAAGTGATAGGGCAGCTTTTGGTACAAACCCCATTAAGAACCAAATGTTTGAGGAACCTTCTAAAACATTTTAAAACACACACATACATATATATATATATATATAAGGAAGAAATGGTGGAAAATATAACAAATTCCAATTCCTTTTGTTCTTGAGGCAAGACACTGAATCTGAACATTTAGGTTTTTGAACCATGGCTTGCAGGACGATCCAGTTCTCTCACACTTTACTTTCAGAGGGCAGATCGCTGAGTGCGGCGGCGATGTCGCTGAAAGACAGTCTGTCTTTGGGGCTGGCGGCCCAGCAGCGCACCATCAGCTTGAAGACCCGAGACGGACACCCCTGAGGAGGAGACAACTTCAGCTTCCCTTCCTGCAGAGCTGTAGAGACACAGATAAAGAGAGTTAGAGATAAATCACAACCGTCAGTCAATATGCAACCCACTTGACTTTTTTTGTGAGGCGCACCTTCTAGAACTTTGTCATCCGCGAGCTCGGCGTAAGGCAGCTCCCCAAAGCTGAAGACCTCCCACATGAGCACCCCAAATGACCACACGTCCGTCTTGGTGGAGAAATCGTCCTCAAAGACGGCTTCAGACGGGAGCCAACGCAGAGGAATCCAGGACTGGCGATAATGGTAGTACTCGCTACACAAACACAGAAAAGAAACCATGACGACTTCGTCACCACAGGGGGAAAGCAGTGTATGTGATAATACATGGAGAGCATTCACAAGCCTGGGAACAATCAATACAGGAAGCGTTTGCATTGGAAAAGATGACTTCAATGGACGTTCTTTTCATTCCTCATTTTAGAAATCAAAGGCTTTGGCTCTAAACGTGGATTAGGACTTGTTAGTGAATTTAATAAAAGGCAAATGTTGTAGAATGTACCTGTTGTAGACGTCTTTGCTAAGGCCCAGAGCAGACACTTTGATCTGTCGTTTGGAGGAGATCAGGCAGTTGCGTGCAGCTAGGTCTTTGTGGACGAAGCGCTGGTTTGACAGTTGCTCCATCCCTCGAGCCACCTGCAGACACACCGATACCTGCAGGCAGACGGCAGAGAGTGAGTGCGCTCTGACTGATGTGTGTTTATGTACATGTACTGCATATCAGAGAGACTGGAGACCGTTATTAACTACCTTCTGCTTGGTGCTGAGTGGCTGGACTTTGACTTTCTCATCTTTGCTCTTGGACACTCGCAGGTATTGCTTCAGATCACCCTGAAAATAACACACAGCAAAATGAGACAAGACCAGGAGGGAAGAAACACTTCTCAGGACACAATATTTCAATCAGTACTTCATAATACATCTAGAATAAAGACAAATGCCTCAAGAGCACATGCATTACTGTGAGGTTATCGGGCTAAAAGGGGGTGTTGTCAGAAGTTTTTAAAACTCCTTCGATCGTGGAGAAACTGCTCAGCCTTGAGATGCTTTTTTAGTGTGAAGAAGTGTAAATGATAGACAGACAGACAGATGAAGTGTAACATCAAAGATAGATACAGACAGACAGATATAGACAGACAGACAGACAGACAGATAGAGGAAGGAATGAAGTGTAACATCAAAGATAGAGACAGACAGAGAAAGATAGACAGACAGACAGATAGATAGATGAAAGGATGAAGTGTAACATCAAAGATAGAGACAGACAGACAGACAGACAGACAGATAGATAGACAGACAGACAGACAGACAAAGGAATGAAGTGTAACATCAAAGATAGAGACAGACAGAGAGATAGACAGACAGACAGATATAGACAGACAGACAGCTAGATGAAGGAATGAAGTGTAACATCAAAGATAGAGACAGACAGAGAAAGATAGACAGACAGACAGATAGATAGATGAAAGGATGAAGTGTAACATCAAAGATAGAGACAGACAGAGAGAGATAGACAGACAGACAGATAGATAGATGAAAGGATGAAGTGTAACATCAAAGATAGAGACAGACAGAGAGAGATAGACAGACAGACAGATAGATAGATGAAAGGATGAAGTGTAACATCAAAGATAGAGAAGATAGATAGATAGATAGATAGATAGATAGATAGATGAAGGGATGAAGTGTAACATCAAAGATAGATACAGACAGACAGAGATAGATAGACAGACAGACAGACAGACAGACATGACGCAGCGAGCTGATGTTACCATGTCAGTGTACTCCAGGATCATGTAGTGCGGCTCCACTTCTCTACAGATGCCCAGCAGACGAGCGACGTTAGCATGGCTGAGCTTAGCAAACATGTCACACTCGCGACGGAAATCCAACTGCATCTGCTCGTCGCGTGCCTGCAGACTCTTCACCAGCACCACCGTCTCCTCCTCATCCTCAGCGGCCTTCGCTTTGGCCAGCAGCACCTCACCAAACTCTCCTTTACCTACATGAGGAGAAACAAAAGTAGACGCATTCGTTTCTCGTTCGAGATGTTAATGCCAGTTGTAAACCAGTCCGCAGGTCTCTGTTTTTGGTAGTCTATTGCTGTACCCAGTGTGGTGATGGTGTGCAGGTTGTTTCGGGGGAAGTGGAGCTTGTCGTGACTGCTGTGGCGTTTGTTGATCCCGCTGGCAGCCATGTTGGTGAGCGCCACCTCCTCCTGGATCTCTGCTGTGGTGTGGCCGTTCTGTTGGACGTCTCCTATGGGTCAATCAGAGAACTCGATCAGAGAACTGGGTCTGTTTTTCACAACTGCATGCTAGCAGAAGTTACCACCACACACCGTTGAGACATTCCAGCTCTCGCTCGTCTCCGTCCTGCCCCTTCTGGACTCTCTTGGCATTGCGCCTCTGCTTGCAGTAAAACATGAGGCCCAGCACGATGATGATGTAGGCCACGGCCGCCCCCACCGACAGACCGATAGTCTGGATCATTTTGTAAGGGGTCTTTTCATCATCTGCTAATGAGTGCTGAACTGGTTTTTCTGTAGATGACCACAAACACATAAAATGCACACGGTAAACACCAGGGTTTTTAGAAAGAGCGTCGCTTTTGATCCCAGCTTAAATAGTCTCCTTATAGGAATCAAGTGACAAGCTGGCATGAAGATTCAATTAGGATCTAACAGTCCTGAACTCGCACCGCAAGACAATTTGATGTGCCTCTCCTTCTCTGAAGTCAACACGGCGCTAGACACAAAACATTTGTAATTCATCATAATATGGAAATTGAGTTGGTAGTCCGAGATGGGCCAGAATTGGTTTAGGGTGAACTTTGAAACTGTATGGCAGTATATATCAGGTTTCAAAGAGCCATACAGTACCAAAATTGGTTAAACACGGCTGCGAGGAGTACACAGCTCCAAAAACAGCAGTGGCAGACACACAGAACAAGAATTATAATTGGTTTGAAGGATAAGAGAAGATTTAATCATTCACAACTTTTAACTAGCAGGAAATGGTCCCATTGAGTGCTGCAGGGATGATGTATTTTTGTAGACCTACTAAGAAGTTAGCATCACCCTGGTTCCCTTGTAGTATTTTTCCATTGGCTTTTGAATTAATCGCAGAAAATAAGATCTGTGACCGACAAAAGTTTATGAATTCTTAAGCCTAGATACAACAATCACGAGTGCGGAATATATTAAATATCTTGATCTTGTGTTAACCACAGACCTTATTTTCAAGCAATTAACCAAAAACATATTGTAAAAACCCCACTGACTTCAGAGTCGAATGAGAAGTTGGTCATGCGGATTCGCCACTGCTGGGTTTGAAAGTGACTTCTGTGTGAGCTGTGCTTCATACATCACTACACTATTGACAATAGAACAAATCAGCAAAAATATTGCCAATGTGACCTTTATATTGCTGTGTGTGTCAGCTTGGAAGGGTGAAATGCACAAATTCCAAGTATGGGACACTATACTTAGCCACACGTCACTTTCACTTCACTTTATGTCCTTTGCACCTTTACTTCCTGTTTTTAATGTCTTAACAGTTAAATTTGCTGTGAAAATTTAAAAACAGTTTGGAATATTTAAGAGTTTCCAAGTTTTAACTTCAGCTTTTTATATATTTGCATACTTGTGTGCTGAAGAAGTTCCAAAAAGTACATTTTTGACTAAATTAAAAATGGTAGACAGGCAATATGGCTGACCTTGAAAGTTGGCATTCAAGATGATTTAATTGAGTTATGAGTTTAATTATTAAACATATCAAGCATTTAAAATTCAATGATTTCTTTTGGGGGGGGTATTGTTCTAATGACTTTGACAGGAAAAGTGTCAATGTAATGTGACCAAAATTTGGGCAATAGCCAAAGGATACTATAGGAGAAGTTTGAAAAGTATGTTCTCAAATAAGTTCAAAGTTTAGAGTTTGCATTTTATGCATTCTAAAGTGAAACTGCATTCAGCAATTATAAAAAAAAAACAAACACACATTTTATCAACAGGGATATCACTGCCGTCTGCACACACATTCACCAAATCAAAACCCAGGACTGCCATGAACTTCATCCAGCAGCAGATGTTCTCATTTTCAAGGACACACAATGTAAAGCTTTCTTCACTGCACAAAGTAAACAAAGGTGTATGTTTGTAGAGTAATTTACAACAGCTTCGAACGCGGCTCAGCCAATCAGAATCAAGGACCGGAACTCTCCGTTTTATAAAAGTAACTCAATAATACTCCACTTGTGTTTTTTAAACTTTTATGTGTCTTCAAAAAAGCTTAAATGCTAAATGGGACTACAGAAGTTGTTAGGGACATTTAAGTTGCGAAAAAAATGGAAGCAGCGGCAGATCTTTTCTTCTGTATCGCGACGTGCATCCGACTGAAATGGACTATCAAAAATGAAAAAATGTAGGATGGGACTTGGTTCTATGTAGCAACACATGCAGTGATGACTGGATGTTGGGATGTGGGCACTGCTCTCAAAAGTGGAGGCAGAGGAACGTGAGCTTGGACAGGAATAATGATTGGGAAAGTCCTGCATACATCTGACATTTTCACCAAAAGGTCCGGTTATGACATTCTGATTAAACGTTACGAAGTCAAAAAATACAAGGATGAATTGCTCACAATAAGATCTATAACATGCATTTAAGATTTTCATTTCATGGCATTTCATTTAAATGGCATCAAGCAAATCACTTGTCTGGCTTTACAGCTGCTTTTCTCTAAGCACAGTAGATACCTATCAGGACGTTTTTTTTTAAATAAAGCTTGATAAGCTTAGTGATAGTAATGTGAAGTCATGCGACCATGTTGTAGCTTTTCACTTCTGGCGATTATTTAAAATACTTTTTATAAAGTCTTTCATAAAATGTTTTTTTTTTTTTTTATTAAATCCAAACTCTTCAGTTTTTGGAATATCAAAAAGTTTCCAAGTTTTATCCACTGTGTATATTATGTGTTGCACAAGTAAATTTTTGACAATATGGCTGATCTTGAAAGTTGGCTTTTATTTAATTGAGTTATGAGTTTAATTATTCGGTATATCAAGCATTTAAAATTGTGTGATTTCTGACTGATCAAATACAATGTTTTAATAACTTTTGACAGGGACAGTCTCAGGTGTCATGTGACCAAAATTTGAGGAATAGCCAAAGAATGCTACAGGAGTTTGGGAACCACATTCAACACTCTTAACATCTTTTGGGCTAAAATTCCCAGTGGTAGTCAATCTTCTCAGCCAGACCTGTCCTGATCCAGCGGATGGTCGGGATCTGTCGGCCCTTGGCTGAACACTGCAGATGTCCTTCCTTATTGAGCTCCAGGCACTGGTAGGCCTGCGGCGTCGGCGTGAACTTCAGACGCTCTGAAACAGATACCGCAACAGTGAATGCTTGGTGAGAAGTGCTCTGCAACACACAGCCTCGAGTGGCTTTTATATATAGGCATTATCCCAGCCACCTTGGCATCAGCCATTTAAAAACCCACTATGAAGCAGCAGTTAAATTTAGAAATAAAACAGCACACAACAAATGCTCCTCACCAAGCACATACACCCGCGCCTGGGCGTTCAGTTTTCCCGCCTCCGTTTTGCTCTCACAGCTGTACAGGTGGCCGTCGTACACCTCCACGTTATTTATACGCAGCGTGCCATTCGAGAAGAGCTTGAAGCGAACGTCCTTTTTGAAAACGAGAGAGCGTGTGACAACATGATTACTACATTAATGTTTACTTCAGGATCCACTGTGCAGCAGAGGATCATCTTTCCCCAGCAGAAAAATCACCACATCTTCCTTTTCAGAGACATCACAAGGTTCCTCTCGCCTCAGGACGCAGTTAGAGATTGTGTTGCGAATATGATATCGGCATGACATCACTGTCCCACTCACCTCTGCGCTGATTGGCTGCATGTTGCGGTACCATGTGACCTCGGGTTCAGGTGTGGCGCGTGTGTGGCAGTGCAGGTATCCAGCGCGCCCCTCCTCCAGCTGACTGTCCGCGGGTTTCTGGATCCACTCCGGTTTGGCTGGACACGCAGAGCAGATGTTTAGGATCACAGCAGCAATAACGGACAAGAGTTTAAACGACATTACAGTTTTACAGCAGACATCTGGTGAAGGAAAATAAATATTTTTACTTCGTCTCTTTGAGGGAAGTCAGTTCACTTAGCAACACCCAGGTCCTATTATTTATGCAGGTAAATCTAACTTATAGATAGACAGACAGACAGACAGACAGATAGTTTTACCACATTGCTAGCATGATTTTAGACTCTGCTAGCATGTTTTACCATGTTGCTAGCATGATTTTAGACTCTGCTAACAAGTTGTACCATGTTGCTAGCATGATTTTAGACTCTGCTAGCAAGTTTTACCATGTTGCTAGCATGATTTTAGACTCTGCTAGTATGTTGCTAGGATGATTTTAGACTCTGCTAACATGTTGCTGGCATGATTTTAGACTCTGCTAGCAAGTTTTACCATGTTGCTAGCATGATTTTAGACTCTGCTAGTATGTTGCTAGGATGATTTTAGACTCTGCTAACATGTTGCTGGCATGATTTTAGACTCTGCTAGCAAGTTTTACCATGTTGCTAGCATGATTTTAGACTCTGCTAGCATGTTGCTAGCATGATTTTAGACTCTGCTAACATGTTGCTGCCATGATTTTAGACTGCTAGCATGATTTTAGACTGATAGCATGTTGCTAGCATGATTTTAGACTCTGCTAACATGTTGCTGCCATGATTTTAGACTGCTAGCATGATTTTAGACTGATAGCATGTTGCTAGCATGATTTTAGACTCTGCTAACATGTTGCTGCCATGATTTTAGACTGCTAGCATGATTTTAGACTCTGCTAGCAAGTTGTACCATGTTGCTAGCATGATTTTAGACTCTGCTAGCATGTTGCTAGCATGATTTTAGACTCTGCTAGTAAATTTTACCACGTTGCTGGCATGATTTTAGACAGATTCATTTAAACAGTAGGTCAATAGTGCAATACATTAATAATAACATTATTACTATGGTTTCTCTCCTTTAATTTTTCCATTAAACATCTCCACACCAGGACTACTGCTCTGAAACCCTGTTGCATCACACTAAAAATCACAGTTAAAAAAATGAAATCTGGTTACTTCAGCTGACAAGTCTCTAAGGGAAGTTGTTAGACTGAGAATAGTAATGTATTTAAAGTCCTGAAAGGCCCTGTTGTGTCATACTGAGAGGCTTTCTTAGTGTTATAGATTACCTACAGGACTTTAATTCATAAGACAGTATGGGTCATGATGAAGGGAAATTGGTGGAATGTGAGATATTCAGTAGAGGACAGTAGGGCCCGAAACACATGCTACTGGAGGACGCAAATTAACAAGCTAGATTTTTTTGCATTGTTCTGAAATGTGTTACATCCGTGTTGCATTCTTAGTATTAGCCAGACAGGAAAACCTTTCAGTCATAGCAACAGTTTAAACAACTGAGCAAATTAGTTACTGCACAGACATTTGAAGGAAACTCTGTCACCGCCTTGAGCACACGTAATGCACCACAGGACATGCACTTGCTTTCACATTTGCAGATGTTTCTTACTTGCGACAGTGACAGTCAACTCTTGTTTCCTCTGTCCAGCCTTGTTTTGTGCAAAACAGGTGTAGGTTCCTGAGTCTTCGCCACGAGTGGGCCAGAAAATCAGGTCTAGTCCGTCCTGGTGCACTCGTCCCTCGGCTGGAACTCGCTGTCCCGCGTGTTCCCACCAAACCTCTGGCTCGGGGTGTCCGTGGGGCGCTCGACACGTCACCCGCTCCAGAGAGTCTGCGGTAAACACTCGGGACTGTTTAGGCATCATTTCCTCGATTTCTGAGGAGAAAAGGTGACAAGAAACAGGTTTGAGAGCGAAGCATGGAAGCATGTAATGTGAGGTATCTGAGAAGGGCTCCAAACAGTCCATTCTTCACTGAAAACAATGACATCTGAGCTGTGTAAGCCGCTCGGTCCTGTAAAAGCACCCAGGCAGGTGCTGTAAACAGAAAGGGATTAGATGAGCTTCACCACTGAAGCCGCAGATAATCGCTCTGGAGATCGACTTCAAGAGTTCACCAGTCAGTGAGGCCCACGCCAGACCTCTCTACAGACAGTACGAGTGAGATGCAGTGCAAACTTTATTAGGGTTGAACAGAAGGGAATTGAACAATTCTTAGTCTGCTTCCAAATTCACTTGACGATTGCATACCTGAATAGGAGCTTTGTGGATTTTAATTCATATCTGTGAGGTTTAAGTTCATTTATATGCAGGTAGCATTCTAAAGATTGACAAAGTACTCTGTGAAGAAATGTACTCTTTCTATTATTATATGTTTCATTAGATTTTGAAAAAAAACCCGGTAAGTAGCAAATCATGGTTCTAGTGGCTATTATAACAAAGCCTTTTAATATGTCTAGCGCCTACATCACTGCATGTCTAACTGCACATGAACAGGTCTGAGCTTGTTACCTGCAATTCGCAGAGAGGCCTCGAGAGACACAGGGGGGCCACGGGGCCCTTGAGCCACACATTTATACAGGCCTGTGTTTCGTTGCTTCACCTGAGTGATTAAGAGCGATCCATTGCTCAGGATGAAGATGCTGTGGGAAAGATAGAGGTCAGTGGTAAAATACGTGCTAATTCGCAGGGTAAAGATAACTGTAAATTAATTGTCACTAAAAGACAAATTTCTGATGGAGCAAATAAACTGTTCTATTTGAGTCCTCAGTTAAGTCACATGATTCTAACATTGCAATATTCAAATTGCGCAAATTGAACTCTTTCAAACTTTATAAAGAAGTGCACACATTTCTTCTAATTACACGCAAACTGAATTAAAGTGTCGTACCGGCTCTTGTTGGCCACCGGCTCGTTCTCATGGTACCACTCAACGGTAGGCAGCGGTTCGGCTGTGAACTGACAGTGGAAAAGTGCTTCCTCGTTCCTCATGACTACTAAATCTTCTGGCTTCACCACCGGTTGAGGGAAACTCTTATCTACAGAAAGCGATCGAGACCATTTATTATGCAACGGGAACAGTGACAGATTCTCAAAGAAGCACAATAGTACAAACACACAAACCTATGATGTTGAGGGTGAAGTTGTCATTGCTGCACGCATGGCCCGCTGCATTTTTCGCACAGCAGTAGTAGACCCCGTTGTCGTCAGGACTGGCGTTCGGCAGTGTAAGCGTTCTGTCTTTGTTGTTGATTTTGTAGCTCTTCTCTGATAGTAGTGCTCCATCTTTGTGCCAGCGATTGGTTGGCCTATAGATTGAGTCAGGAGCAGGGTTACTATAGCTGAGAAAATGGCATGAGAAGTTCCTCTAGATCAGGGACCTGCAGAGTTTAGCTCAGGGCCCTCAAGGTCCACATTCCTGCAGAGTTTTCCTCCAACTCTGATCAAACTCACCTGCCTGTAACTTTCTAGTGATCCTGAAGACCTTGATTAGCTGGATCAGGTGTGTTTGATTAGGGTTGGAGCTGAACTCTGCAGGACAGTGGATCTCGTGGGGCCAGAGTTGCCCACCGCTGGTTTAGGTGAGTAATTAATGACAGAATTTTCATTTTTGGGTGAACTATCCCTTTAACCCTAATCAAACACACCTGAACTAGCTAATCAAGGTGCTCAGGGTTACTTGAAAATAACAGGAAGGTGTGTTGGAGCGGAGCTGGAACTGAAGTCTTCAGGAAGGTAGCCCTGCAGAAGCAGGGTTGGCTACTTTAGATTACATAAATCTCTAGATTATAGTGTGCTCCAAGTAGTCAAAGATGCTCTGATTAATTTATAACTTGCAGTCTCCATCAAGCAAGACAGCAACAATGACCAACAACCAATTAAACTGTGAGGGAAAAAAAGAGCACAAGTGGATTGCAAATCAATGCAAAGATGATCACAAGCCCTTTCTCCATGCAATTTGTTGGCATGTTGTCAAAAATCACTCTGCCGTTGCTATGTGACACATAATTTTGGAATATTAGATGTGTTATTCGGGATATCACAGATGTGAGTGTTTGGCCATACATTTGCAATGCATGTGTTGTTATTCGGGTAGCTAGATAAAAGTTACACACCCCTTAAGAAAAGGGTGTCCAAACCTGCTCGTGGAGAGCCACTGTCCTGCAGAATTTAGCTGCAACCTGCCACAACACACCAGCCTGGAAGTTTCTAGTATTCTGGAACGCCTTGATTAGCTCATTCATATATGTTTAATTAGGACTGGAGCTAAACTTCGTGACCATTCAGGAGCAGAGTTGGACACCTGTGCCTTAAACAGAAAGTGTAATTCCTTTGTCCACATTCCGCTCTGGCTCACAGACAGTGTGTGTGAGGCATAATTATCATCGTCAGCATAGTCCACTGATTTCCTAGCACATAGTCCACAAGCACCCCATACTTGTCCACAGAGAAAAGCAAAAAGGTCCATTAGGTGTCCATCAAGAGCTCGGGTGTCCAAACCTGTTCCTGGCGGGCCACTGTCCTGAACCAGCTAATTAAGGTCTTCAGGCTCACTAGAAACTTCCAGACAAGTGTGTTGGAGCTGGCTGGAGCTAACATCTGCAAGACATAGGCCCTCCGGGAGAAGGATTGGACACCACTGATCTAGAGTATACTATTTTGTGACAGACAGAGCAGAGTGCGGAAAATAAAGTACACCTTGACCTTCACGACAAGAACACAAGGAGTACTTGCTCTGCATTACGAACTGCGAAACTCAGTGACGTGAAATTGAGCTGGTGTAGCTAAATGCACCCACATCTACAGCATGTTTCTGATCGAAGGCTAGGAATCAGATAGGGCTGGGACAATAAATCAATGCATCGCGAATCGAGAAATGATTCTGCATCAATTTTGAGATTTTCCGAAGGCATCACGATTCTCTCTTGAATCGATTCGGAGCTTAGTTTTTAACAGCAGATGGCACTGCGCGCTTTAGAAATAGCCGTATTCTGCTTGCTTCCAGTTCCTTACACATGCACCACTTGAACCTACAATAATCATTTATAAAGTTCGAAAATGTTGAAGCGAATTACAGGGATGTTCACAGTGGGCTGTGTTTACATTAATCTTGCATCATAAAGCATAAAAGCTGATGTGCAAGTACATTTAACCACTTACATTACTCAGCCAAACACACAAGAGCTCTTCTTCGCAAGCATTTGAGTGTGCGGATAAAAACTAGCCTAGAGCGCCATCTGCTGTTAAAAACTCAGAATTGATTCAAGAGAGAATCATGATGCATTCCGAAAATCTCAGAATCGATCCACGAATCTAGAGTTATCGGACACAATACATCGATTTGTTGTCCCAGCCCTAGAATCAGACATGCAATTCCTCACCGTGGGTGTCCGTCTATGTTGCACCGTAGTACCACTTGAGAGGAGCTCTGAATCTCTGCCTCTGATTCTGGACTCTTCAGACTCACTATGCCACTTTCCAACCCTGTAACACAGACATGTTAAAGATTAACAGTTTGATGATCAGGAGATGGCTGAAAAAACCCTTGTCCAAACTCTCGGCGCTCATTATCAAAAACAAACTCCCCCATTCACACGTTCATGCTTTGTGCTCGCCGCAAAACAGGCCTCTCTATTCAGCTGACCTTACTTGTTATCGGACATAAGCAGCCGGACGCTGCATTTCAACCAATTAATCTTGGAATTGGGCATAAAGGAGTGCTTTGTCTGGCTTCCACTTACTGGCTCAAAATAATCTTCTCTCACGCGGGCGTTGCTTAGCTTGCTGTAGTCGCAAAGGGGGTGAAGTGGCTAGGAAGGTTTTTACACACCAGAGGCAGCAAACACAGGGAGTTTGACTTGTTCAGACTCAGAAAGAGGGGAACATTTGAGCGTACACTCACATTTGATGTTGAATGAGGTCTCGCCGGTGTGGTATTCTTCACCAGTGCTGTTCTTTGAGACAAAGCACTGGAAGTTTCCTGAGTCAAGCGTTCGGTCAATGGCAATGAATTTCAGGTTGCCTCCTTCCAGGAATCGTCTCTCCGAATCGGTGACCTTCTCTCCGTTGTGTTTCCAGGAGTAGATGACACCTTGAGGGTCGTTTACTTCACACCGCAGCATGGCACTGCGCCCATGCAAGGCATCCTGGGATTTTGGCTCCTTGGTGAAAGAGAAAGAGGCGGCTTGCACCAGGATCACTATCGAGAGAAGAAAACAAAGCACAGGCATGAGGAAAGATAACCTAAATATCTAATCTAGTAGATCAGTGCCAGCGCTTACAGGTCCAGACGGACAACTTGTGATGTTGATTATTAAGATGCTGAAACGCAGGTGAAAGAATGTAGCTTTGAGAAAAAGCAGAACACCCCCTCACGCCTCCCTCAGACTCTCAGTTCGTTCTTTGTTTTCATCCAGCTGGAACTTCAAGGCCAGACGCCCAGGTGTGCTTCAGACAGACAGACCAGACCAGACAAGAACTGGACCTTTTAACACTGACCAGTCTCTCGGACCCAAACAATAACCTTAACCATTATGTATTTGAGTAAAACTATTGGCACTGGCTTCATTTCAGATCAAAGTGTGGCTATAGCAAAAAGCCCCTGAATTGTATACTACTGAAATACAGCGTTTACTGAAGGAAAGCATGCAAGACGAGTGCATGAATACCTGTATGAGCATGCATCATGAACCAAGAGTACAAAAAGTGGGCATTTACATTTAACATTACCATAATTCATTTGGACAACATTATTTCACTTCAAAATACACACAAGTACTCCATTTTTCACTATGTGAAGACAATATGCTAGGGTAGTGTGGATTGCTAGGACGTTCTAATGAGTTGCTAATGAAGTTCCTCTGTGCTTGCTAGGGTGATCTGAATGACTGCTAGATCGGTTCCATGATGATGTGAACGGTTGCCAGGACGTTGCTGTTAGGTTGCTAATGTGTTTTTAGAGGGGGAATGCAGTTTTTGGATGATGTAACTGGATATTATGGTATTTTTTAATGAAAATGTTGCCCAGGCCTATCACAAACAAATAGTTGGCTACATTGAGGCTGATCAGTTGCAGGACAAGCAATATAATTGAATGAAACATTTCATAGCCAAACAACTTACTACAGAATCACTCAACAAAGATGGCTGTTCAGAAGCACAAGTACATTGAGCGCATATCTGATATAACCTAAAGTATACCCAGTTCCTGGGTTATTTCAAATCGGACGCCACCGATTGGCTTAGTGAGGGAGTGAGTTGTGAAACTCCGTAACGACTCTGAATGATTCAATGACTGATTCAGAGTCTGATCTAAACGGCTAATTTTTTTTTGTGAATTTTTGACTGACTCATCGGTTCCATGATGATGTGAACGGTTGCCAGGACGTTGCTGTTAGGTTGCTAATGTGTTTTTAGAGGGGGAATGCAGTTTTTGGATGATGTAACTGGATATTATGGTATTTTTTAATGAAAATGTTGCCCAGGCCTATCACAAACAAATAGTTGGCTACATTGAGGCTGATCAGTTGCAGGACAAGCAATATAATTGAATGAAACATTTCATAGCCAAACAACTTACTACAGAATCACTCAACAAAGATGGCTGTTCAGAAGCACAAGTACATTGAGCGCATATCTGATATAACCTAAAGTATACCCAGTTCCTGGGTTATTTCAAATCGGACGCCACCGATTGGCTTAGTGAGGGAGTCAGTTGTGAAACTCCGTAACGACTCTGAATGATTCAGTGACTGATTCAGAGTCTGATCTAAACGGCTAAATTTTTTTTGTGAATTTTTGACTGACTCATTAAAAAGAACCAGTGCATAAAGAGTTATCTGTTAGTGAACCAATGTCTTATTGCACTTTACATGATAGTCAAAGTGCTGTCTAGCATTATCAGTGTAGCTTCACCATTCTCAATCACTTTTTCATATAACTGAAATGTGTTTGAAGGCAACTATTGCACACAAGATGGAGATTGCGCCCTCTATTGTATGGTTGAAACAGTGCAGAAGGAAGCAACGGGGAGATATTGATTATTAACAGGCCATTTTATTTATTATCAAATTGCCAGAGAATATATCTATTTATCAAATTTCACCATGATTCAGTTCATTTTTTTGGTTATTAATATTTCGAAATTCGCTTATAGTCCCTTCTCTAGTTAGGAGTTTGTTTAAATCCCTAATACAGCTATGAGCAATACTAAGGTTCATGCTTGCCTGCTGACAAAAACTGATACACCAGTGATGATCTTCAAACACAATTGATGGTTTTATATCACTCCTGTAAAAGCAGCATTCCAGCGTGCCAACTTTTACATCTAAACATGAAAGAGGCGTGTGAATGACAGCCGTCTCCAGGGTCTAATCTCTGGCGCCTCTGTCCATTTTCTACCCCGCAGAGCAAAGCTCTGAAGACGTCCCATTCAGACAGACAGACAGTAGTCAGTCCCGCTCCAGCGAGCACAGCTCGTGCTGGGAGAGGACCAGCATGCACTGGGAATGGGAAATGAAGCCCAGATTCCCCACGGAGCAGAGTAAAACACGCTCAATAAACAGCTACGATGAGTGACTGAAGTTTGACCCATACAGAGCTATTTCATGAGTGTAGCTGGATGTTCGAGTGGGTAAAAAAAGGCTGCACCTGTCAGGACCGAGATAACCTGTCTTTAATTCCCTCTGACATGATGTCAACGTCACATCAGCCTATGAAACCCAGTTTTTTACATTCATCTGCTGCTGTCATCTCCACCTGCACCTGTGTCAGTAGGTTATGCTTGAGGCCAGGTCATATACGGATCTTCAGGTCCAGGTGTACTTCATTTCATTATTGTGACATTCAAAATGCTGCACAATTTTATATGGTCAGCATACTCTGTGTCTTGCCTCCACCTTAGGTTCCTATCCCATCAGCAGAGCTGGGTAGTGACTGATTACATGGATTACGTCATCAGATTAAGCACACCTGAGATTTTAAGGTAAGAAGTTAATAATTAAATAACACATTTGCATGTTCACTGTTCTCTTCATGGTCACATGACATGCAGGTAAACAAATAGTTGACCTTTTTTAGTAAGTGTTTTATTTTGATTGTTGTTATTTTAAAATTATTTTCTTTAATTTTACATTTGTATGATTTCATTGTAAGCGTTTCATTCAACTTACAAACCCACTGCAGTTCCTTCATGAACCCCAGTTTTTAATGTAATTTATGGTGTTAATAACAGCGAATGGAATATATTTTCTTTCTCTTTGTATTTTTAGATCAGTTTGGGTACAAGATTTCAATCAATGTGATTAACGAGTTAGGGTCAAAAGTAATCTAAAAGTAAAGTAATCTAAAAGTAGTCTGATTATATTACCTAAAATAAGTCATGTAATGGATTACGTTACTAACTACAATTTTTGTCATGTAATTTGGAATCAGTATCGAACTACAATTTGTAAGTAATCTACCCAGCAAAACAACATTACAAGCAAGCTATTTGTAGTCTTTACCAATGGCAAAGAAATCTTTTGTGTTTATTATGTGGTTATGATTACGCCTGCAAAGAATGCGCACCCACAGAACTCTTGAAAAAAGATAATCACCAAATACTACACGTATTACCTAAAATAAGTCATGTAATGGATTACGTTACTAACTACAATTTTTGTCATGTAATTTAGAATCAGTATCGAACTACAATTTGTAAGTAATCTACCCAGCAAAACAACATTACAAGTAAGCTATTTGTAGTCTTTACCAATGGCAAAGAAATCTTTTGTGTTTTTTATGTGGTTATGATTACGCCTGCAAAGAATGCACACCCACAGAACTCTTGAAAAAAGATAATCACCAAATACTACACGTAAACTGTATCATTGTTTTTCCTCATGCAGACAGCAGTCATTACATCTGTATTCTCAGGTCTGTGAAAGCAGAAGCATGTCTGTACATGTAAGTCTCCAGGACACAGGATCTTCTTTCTCCATGAACCTGACACTATGAGATCTCTATTGTCCTTAAACAGCAAAGTCTGTCAGCTTCTCCAGACCTTATACATAACAGCTGAAGTTTACTAGCATTGTGGAGAACTACCATACTACTACAGCATTACAGAAATATCCTGAACTCAATGCAAGTTCATCTCTATGGACAGCATTCAGGACATTCATTACCATAGATGATTTCATCTTGTCCCTCAGTTACAATGGAAGTCTATGGGGCAAGTGTACTTGAAGGTTTCAAAGCATTCATTGAAGAAGCCTTTTGTTTAGATGTCATGTGTAAGGCTATGCTATTTTTCTAATGAACTGCATTTTCTTCTCACCCCATCCACTCGAAGTACTTTTTTTATAAACTCAATTGTTGTTTGCTTTTACAAACTGAAGGCCGCAGCAAAGTGCAGACAGGCATTGATGTGTTCCTCCATCCGTAGCGGCTCAGTCCTGCCACAAAGCCTCACCAATACACAGAAACACAAACCACTAACACAACTACACAAATAAATACAGATGCATATCTCTCCTTATGTGCATTTTCCCATCTCAGGCTTGGTCAGAGAAACAATCTATCCGCGGCTCTGCGTGACCAGAAGTCCTTGTCCGTTAGCTCCCGTATGACCATAAGGCAGAATTAACTCGCCACTCAACACCAACCACACAGCTGCACTGACAATCACTACACAATCCCACTGACCGTGACTGACCACAATCAAAAGCTTTAAATAACGCAGGACAAGAAACTCCAAATGTAGATTATGGGAAAGCGCTGGCTTAAAACTAGGGCTGCACAATATTGGAAAAAACTCACATTGCGATATTTTATTTTTCTGCTATATATATTGCGATATGAAAACAAAAATCACCACATGACTTGAATAGTTTATTT